TTTCCTCCTATTGTAGGACTTCCACTCAGCCAGCGTTCCTGTGGGTCTGGGTGATGTCCCTTCCGTCTTTTAGTTTCACTTTTGAAATGGTTGTTCGAGGCGGCAAACTCCGGCGTTAACCTATGCCGCCATCTTGGTTCTCCAACATAAGTATTTTAAATTTTCAAGTGTAACTATATGGAAAACTATCATTATTTTATAGTCAGAGCACAAATGCCCAGAGAAGCCAGTATTTATGTTAATATGACCAAGAGTTAAGTGAGGCATAAATTGGTGAGCCAGTTTGTTTTTAGCTATTTAGGAAAGAAGAACCAAATTATTTGCATTTATAACTAGTTATGCAGCAAATAAACACTAACTTGGTCAGAAAGCCGTTGAGTAGTAAAACTGCTCCTATACAAATGCAATGTGAAGTGATAAAAATAGTGAACATATTAGCTCCAAAATATGTAACCGTATCATAATCTTTCAACTGTAAGATGAATGGGATGGGACAAGCTCATATTTAACACCAATTTCAGAAGTAAAATCCTCTGAGTTCATAATCATATAGTCCAGGTCTAAAGTCTTCTCAAAATTGCATTTCTTTTTTTGCATTTTCTGGAACTGTATAAGACATCTTGCATTGCATATGACGTGCCATGTCCACTTATAGTGGGAAGAAATTCAACACTCCCATTTTGTAGTATAAACATGTTGCTATTATTAGCTATAGAAGCTGAAAAATTGAAGAAAGAGAATACCATAAAAGAACTTGACGTTTTCTGGAAGTACTTGGAACCGATCTTGAATAATGAGAAGCCTGAAACAAGTCTCTTTGATGTTGCTCGATTTCAATACACAGTCAGGGCGGATGACTTTCCTTCCGACTGGTCGGACAGCCAGATGATGGTGAGTACCCGCAATAAATAGAGTGAGTGCTGTGCACATGGACACTGTGGTTCCATTTACCCATTCCTTCCTTCCACAGATATTTATTGATCATAGACTATAGGTAAGGTTTTGTCCTTTATCTTCAAGACAATTGAGAGCATTGAATGCCCAGTAATGGTTATAGACTGAATCTATAGCTTTCAGTGTATGAATTAGTGACAAAGAATAAGAGGTAGATGAAGAGCCTTGCCCGAGTAAGCTCAGTTGGTTAGGGCACTGTCTCAATACACCAAGATGGGGGGCTCAATCCTGCAGTGTGATGTATTTCAGCTGAACTGAAAGCACATTCTTGGGAGGGACCACATGAAGTGAGTGCTCTGAAGGGAGCTGGGCAAAGCAGGGTGAGGGCGGTAGATGAGTGTCTGTGGTCAGGGACTTGGATAGCTGCCAAGAAAAAAAAAACACACCAAAAACCCCGAGGAGAGAGGGATCACAGCCTAGAACAGTTTCTGAGCCAAAGGGTAGGTGTCCATGGCCATGAGTTGGAGCATGAACTTTTCTCATTAGGAGAGTCCCTGATTCTTTTTTCTTGAGA